CCCCCGTCAAGATTGGAACCGACTACCATAGCCCTGCACTAACCCAGTCAGTATCACATTGTACCCTTATCTGTTTGTTTACGTACTTTTGTATTTATTTTTAGCATACTTTCCTTATTTGGTTGAGGGGCTATGCTACAAGCCGGAACGTCGCGGGTTCAAGTCCCGATGTGGTCATTGGATTTTTTTCAATTGACTTAATCTTTCCAGCCGCACTATGGCCTCTAACAGAAATAAGTACCAGGAATTAATTAAATAATTTTCCTGGGGAGTAAAGCGCGGCCGGCGCGTAAGGCTGACAACCTTACCGCCATCTTTGAGCCGATTGTCCAGATAATGTGGGACCCTCAACGTCTCACAACCCTATGGGCCTTCACGGCCTGGTACAGGGATAGCTTTTCTTTTACTTTTATACTTTCCTTATTTTGAAAAATAAAAGTAGGCTTATGACATCATTTTGCTGTCTATGTGTCTTCGTATCCTCCCTTTCAGCTTCTGAACCATTCTTTCTGGAACTTCGCGCGTATAGCCCATCACAGTGGCGTACTTCATAAATCCCTCCGATCAGTCCGTGTATTTGCATATACAGTATATGCTCCCTATAGTTGCTAGGCAACAGCTCGGTAGACACCTTCGCGCGGCAGCGAATACACATTTAACATTAGAAGAACTGTTGGAGGCGTCTCTTTCTATACGCTCTGTGTCGTACCAAAGGAGAATCATGGGTCTCTCTGTGTGTCCCCTTATCATTACTAGGCAGCGACTCGGTAAACACGTTCACGCGGCAACGAATAAATTTTGGAGACGTAATTTTCTATGCGGTCCGTGTTGTATGAGAGGAAAGTGACCGATTAATTCTTGTTTATTTTATGATTATCTGGTTATGTAGCGTTGTAGTGGTAGGATAATTAGTGAAGAATGAGTTCCAAAAAGACTGGTAAGAAACTGTCATTTCGAGTATGAAGCATTGCCCTTGCACTTCTCTCGAGGAAGTGAGGAAGTCTGAGAATACCAAGATTGTCCCTTGTAGAATGGATACTGCGATGTCTGAAGAAGAACACTCGAGAGGTTTCGGAGGAAAATATTATATTGTGTGTGAATATTATTTACTTCAGTCACAATTTATGTGTATGATTACAATACAACATTACAACATGTTCGGCATTTTACGCTATCACCAGGTGATATATGTTTCTGTGTTCATCTCTGCTTGTCTGCTGCTGTCTCCCTGCATTGGCCAGTGTTCACATGAGGGAGCAGTGGCACGGAGTTATTTTCCAGAGTGTCTTATATAAAATTATGCAAGCAGTTTGAAAATGTTCTGAGGTCGACTCAGCCTCTAACAGAAGTGAGTACCAGGAATCTTCCTGGGGTGTAAAGGCTGATAACCTCACCGCCATTTGTGAGTTGACTGTCTAGGGCAGCGATGGCCAACTGGCGGCCCGCGGGCCGTATCCGGCCCGCGACTTGACTTACTCCGGCCCCCCGCCAAGTCTCAGGTTTATTTTAAAAAATCTTAACGCCACAGCTGTTTGGCATAGAGTTCAGTTTTTAATAGGACGTTTCATTAGCTTACAGCATTTTGCAATTGAGTGTATACGTTCTTACCGAGTTGGACAGTTCAGACTGTTTTCTAATAACTGTGTTCATGTCATGGAAATCCCAAGTCCCCCAACCCTACTTCTGTAGGGAGATGACACTGAAAGGAAGACCGTAGTGGTGAAGGATTTATGACACCTTCAAAATAGTAACCATTCCCAGCTTGCTCGCGGGGATGGGATGTTTACCGTTTCTCTCGGCATCCTGGCCTTTGTTAAGTGCCAGTTTTAGCAGAAATGTCTCCCAGTTAGTGCGATTTTAGAAAGTGAAGTGTGATTACAGAGTGTAAGTGTAGAACTGTTTTTCAATTAGAATTGTGTTTGAAGTTATTGTAAGTGATACATCATCATCAGTAATCTGTCAAGACGACAGGTCCACAGTCTCTTCCAAAACAATTCCTCC